AGGACAAATAAACAGGGAAAAATGAGGATGGAATACTCTGATGAAGTTTAAGAACAGTTAATAGAAATTTATGTATTACTTTTTACATGTTTAGTAAATGTAGATTATATTAGCAAAGGCTTAGATATGTCAAGATAAAGTCTACAGTATTAAGGAAATATTCCATCAAACTCTCATTATTAAGAATTAAGAGAGGGCTGGGGATTTAGCTCAGCAGCATAAGTGCCTACCTGGCAAGCGCAAGGTCATGAGTTTGATCCCAGGTAACAACAACAACAACAAAAAGAATTAATGTTGCAGCCAGGAATGTTGGTGTACACCTGTAATTCCAGAATTCAGAAGATTGGGACAAGAGGATTGTTCTGAGTTCCAGACCAGCTTGGGCTACGTAGTGAGTTCAAGGCCCAGATGGACTACATAGCAAGAACCTGTCTCAAAAAACAATAGCAAAAATTAATGTTGTACTTTGTCAAAAATGTTTGTAGGACCATGGAAATAGAATTACAACCACTCCACTAACATGCCTTGTTGTATGCTTGTAATATAGCAATTACTACATGATTATGGTAATATGTACTGTGGTCATAAGGTGTATGCTGCCATAATGTAATGCATTTATGTGCTGTCAGATTCTGCTTGTGAATTTTTTGCAGTTGGGAGACTATTTAAAATTTGTTTTGAGAGTATAATGTATCTTCTGACCCTGTAGAACACACTGACTTTCAAGAAACTATCATTGTGCACATTCTGATTAGTACTTTCTGTGTTAGCACCATTATAAATAATTCTAATCATCATTAGGAACTCAAATTGGGTAATGGTGATATTTTCCATTTTGTAGGTGAGGAAACTGAGGTGCACAGAGTTAAATACTAATAATACCTGAGGGAAATTTAATCCCTGGCTCCAGAATCTATTCGTACAGGTCAAGAAATTTAATAAGATGTAAAACTATGTTGTTAAAATGATGGCAGAGTAAATTTGGTTTCATTATGTTAGTCATTATGTAAGACATAATTTTAGGGGTTGGTACCTGGAATCAAACTCATGACTTCATGCTTGTCAGGCAGGTGCTTGTGTCACTGAGGTATAACCCCAGGCATCTATCCATAAGTTTAGTAGGATCATCCTGGATTAGTTTATTGTGTACAACATTGCATGGAGATAAGCACCACAGTGATAGCATTCTGAGGCAGTGGTCCCTGAAAATCAGGTGTTGCCTGAAGGGAGATGATCCAAAATAAAAAAAGTTGAATATATCAGCAGAGTAATTATGGGAAGATTATTTGCATTACTAAAAAATCTAGTAATTTATGAACAATATCAATATTTGATTTTCTTTAACAGTCCCTATCTTCTACGATGGAGCATTTTAAAGGTTAAGCAAATTAAATTTAGCTAGTTGTCAACATTGTATAGCCTTGGCTACTAAGGATGAAAACTTAAAGGTAACTGCATTCTACACAAATTTTTTTAAATTGACATTTTAATTACATACTACTAAATGAAGTACTAGTAGATTTTGGTAGAATTTCTTGTAAGACCACAGTGTGTATATTTCTAGGCAGCTACAAATCCACAGAGAGTTTCATAGTGCAGAATAGAGGTAGAAGTCCTATTTTTCAATGGTCTTACCTTTCCATGTCCGTGTTCCCAATGGAGTACAAAGACTGCTGAAATACACACTTTGGGAGGTAGTGAGTGTTTAGTGAACACTGAGAATCTATACATGTATACAGGCTCTGACATCTGTTCAAGTTTGTAATTAGTGGCAACAGCCTACACTTTATTAAAAGTGATAGTGAATATGACAAAATTATTTTTAATTGCTCATATAAACACATGGCATAGATTATGGCAGTCTCTGACTTCTTTATTTGTTGTCTCTGTAATTTTAAGTCTTTTTTTAAAAACTAGTGGGCATAAGTATATTAATCTGTAGCCACAGGCTGCAGCTGTAGATATCCAGTGTGGAAGGATGTTGAAAGAATGAGAAAATAAAGAAAAGAGACAAAAACTGAAGTCAGGTGGAGCCCTCTCGCCTGATGGGAGGAAAAGGGATTGCTCAACCACTGTAGCACCTTTATTTTTACACTCAGAATGATGATGTCAGTTTCAACCCCACTGCCTAGCAACTTGTTTCTCTGGCTGGCCTGGGCCCCTTGCTTTCTTGGATCTGGAAAAGCTTGCTTACCTGGCTTGATTTGGGCTCTGTGTTTTCTGGGCTGGCCTTGCTTTAGCCCTCACAAATGTGATCAGTCTCCAGCGTCAACAGCTCCCTACATAAATCTATATTGAGAAGGAATCAAAAGGTTAGCTCCAACAGACACCCCACCAAAACAAGAATAATTTAGGAAAACTAGGGGCTTACCTTTGTTTTCTAGAAGGAATCCCTGGAATTATTAAAAGGGATATTTAGAGCATAATTAAGATACTTACATAGTTATAAGGCTAATTATAAAATAAAAAATGGAGGAAATCATTCAGCAAGGAAAAGTTACCATTAAATAAATTAACATTTAAACTTTTCTCTCTTATTATCATGGTCTCACCCATTAACTTGTCATAAAATTATTTGCTATTTAACACCATTAAAAAAGAAAAATTAAAATTTAAAATTATAAATTGCAGAAATTCTACCAAAATCTGCTACTATTTCATTTAGAAATCTGTAACTAAAATGTCAATATAAGAAAATTTGTGTAGAGTTCAGTTACCTTATGTTTTCATACCTAATAACCAAGCCTAAAATTTACCTTTTACCTTGATATTATACAATGCCAGTGTTAAGTGCAAACATGAAAGCCATTATTAAATGGAGATACTAAAATTGCACAATTTGTGTTTCCTAGTTTCTTTTGACATATGCATTTCTTAGCAGAACAGTGGGAATGCTATATAAAACTAACCTTTTATTCCTCTTTTAACATATGCGCATTGTATTCTTTAACGAAAACTTACTTATATGAATGAGGAAGAACTGAAAAGGTGTTACGCATTGCCTTGATTTTCCCTTTCCTTCCATTTTATCACTTTCAGTGTAAGTTGTTGGCTAATGCAGTGAAGGCATAAGAATGCGAAGGAATATGATAGGCTGTCTGTGTTTTGCCAAACACTACTGCTTTTCTGCACTTGAACCAGTTTCTTGCTCAAATAAAAGAGTAATCTGTGAGAGCTCTTAGTGACCCTCCACCCCGCGCCTGCTCACTCAGCTGCAGCTGTGACATGCTTGCTTGTTTTGCTGTATTTTTGTTTTGCTAAACTCCTGTGTACTCCGGGTCCTTATGAATGCTATGATAATGGAGCACCTGGAATGCTATGTGAACAAGGAGGAAAAAACGTAGACATGTACAGTGTTCCCATCCCCCCTGCTCAATGCATGCTCCATTATTCACTTCGAAACGCAATTTCAAAGATACAAGTAGTAATTTCAAGATAGTGACAACAAGGCATTAAGGCATGCTTGCATGGGCCTTGGGTCTTGCTTGTCCGTGAAAGTGACTCTGCTTTGATAACCTCACCATTACAAACTGGAATAAGAGTATTACCCAGGTAGACATGACATAGGAGACATTAGGTTATAAATGTCATTTGTTAAATGTCTGGCATATAGAAAGCACTCAATACATTGTAGTTTTGTAATAACTGTGTTCTCCATATCTTCAATAAAATTAAGCAATGGTTATTGTAATCCTACTAATGGACCTGTTTGTTTGTTTTGGGTCAAGAATTCCTTATATAAGCCCCTAGAAAGAATCCCCTCTGCTCAATGCATGCTCCATTACTCACTTCGAAACGCAATTTCAAAGAATTTCAACCACAATGTACTCTGCAATGGAATGAAGGTCCCTTATCTGTGTAATGGTCATGAGGCAGTTATGCAATACACAGTGAAAACCCTGAGATGAGTTCCAGTGTTGCCTGGGTTACTTTCTTCAGTGATAATCAGTGTGGCAGTTTATAGCAAATGATGTAGTCGGGAGTGTTGAGAAAAGATAAGGTCACATGTCATTAAAGGCAGTTGCATTGCCAGGTTTTCTCCATCTGAAAGTAAAGTCATCACTATAAAGCTTTGGGCAAGAATGCTTCTATTCCAAATTCATGAGAAGGAAATATTTAAATGCAAAAGAAAAACGAAGTGAGGATATAGATGAGGTCTGCCTGAGCAGACAGAGGTTTACATTTCCAAGTGGTATCTCATTTATATGTGCTTGACTATAGCATTCAAATAAAATTTCAAATATACTGCAGGGTACAAAGTTTCCAAAGAAATACTGTAGATAATATTTGGCAACCAGTTAGGAGAGTTGCTTCTAGGTGTTATTTTGTGTCCTAAATATATTTGGTTTATTCATATATGTTTAACAAATGTTTCATCTTGGAGATACCAACTTTTAAAAAAAGATTTAAAAAGTTTTAGTTCCTTATGGAATTAGCACATCAATTATTTTAACATAATTTTATTTACATCCAGACATTTAAGATTCTCTGTTAACATATTTTATCAGTACACATTTTAAAGTGAGATAAAGCATTATAAAAACTTACATTCCCATGAAAATGAGCAATTTCAGGTCATGGGACATATGAAACCCCCATGTCTTATGTAAATTTTCCCTTCTCTAATTTTGGGATATTAGGCTGACTTCTGTGAGGAGAAGACTACTTGAGTCAAATGAGTAAATATGGCAGTAAATGAGTAAAATATGGTTTAAAAAAAGCTTAGCAAGAAAAGTATAGATGAAAATGTGGCATAAAATCTGTGTCCTGCATAGGTAAGACTTATTTCCAACCCCTTCCCACTTGAAATTGAAAATCTGGATTTCATTTTCAATTTAGAAATATTCTCAGGAAATATTAACTTCATGCATTCCTGGACCTCTCATTCACTGGTCTTGTGGGTTTGGAGGTTAACTAACCCCAGGAAATGCTGAATCAGGGCATGGGCAGGTTTGTTCTTAAATGATTTTACTAATAAATTATGCTATTATTGTTTCCAGATGCAGAGCCAAAGTACCTGATAGTTGTGCGTCCTGTTCCCCCTCCGAGTCAAAAGAAGTCATGTTCAGGTAGTCATTTTCATTGATGTTTTAAAACTGACTTTAAACTGTGACTTTTCACCTTCTTTCTATACATGGAAACTAAATGCTGCAGAGGTGCCTTAGGAATACATCAAGTAGATGGTTCGAAGCCCTCAGTCTATCTTATGTTCTGGAGAAGCCGCACTGCCTTACAGTAGAATCGTGTGGGTTTCTGCCAGGACTACCCCTTGCAGACATCAGGGATTTAGGCAAGTGATAGAAGGCTGCACCTGGTTCTGCTTTGTAGTAGGGTTGTTGCGTGGATTAAATGTTTATGACAGCTCCTGGTCTGTGGCCAATGCTCCTTCAGGGCTGGTTCTTGATAGACTGTCTCTGTTTGTTTAATGTGTGAACTTTTGCTATTGTAGCCTTTATATTTTAAGGACAAAATTTTATATCTAATCTTTGTTTATGAAGACTGCTTGTATTTCAAAATGATACCTCATTCTATGTGTTAAGTAGATTAAAACTTAGCTTTTATTTACTCGTTTTTTTCCTTCTAAAGGGAATGTGATATTTATACAAGAGAGTATTACTTTACCATAAAGAAGGATAAACTGAGTTATTTGTAGGATAAGTTAGATGAAATGGATCAGACACACAAAATATTTGATGTGAGAAACTCAAAATGTAAATAAGGAACAAAATAAATGATAGACAATAGGGAACAGGGAGGTGGATCTTCTTGAAATGAAAAAGGGATCAAGAAATGGAGGGAGAGGTTGAGAGTAGAACAAAAGAGTTGAAAAAATAGTTGAGCTGTGTTATGCCCACATACCAACTTCCCATAAATAATGGAATTGTTATGTAATGCAAACATGAGCTAATAAAAACAAAAACTGAGGAAAAAACAGAAACAGGATGCTTTTTAAAAAAGCTTTTTTTTCCAACCCTAGAATGACTGGAAACAAGGAAGAAGGTACTGTATAAATAATTGTTTAGAAACTGTCCATATAAATAAAGGAAAATTAAAAGCCTACAATGTGTAATTTATCTACCGAAATATCTCAAATCACATAATTAGGTTTATGCTCAAGAAAACAATGGCAAAATCTATGTTTGTTTAATTTGGTGTGGCATATTCCTATCTCTGTAGAGAGAACTGACCGGAATTTTGCTTTGAATTTTCTTTTTCTAATGTGAACAATTCTCCAATAATTATTTCCTAGTCATGTTCATCTTTTATGGAACACTGGATGCCACATAGAAAAGGGTTTTTTTTTTGTTTGCTTGCTATATTTTTCCATAGAGATAAAACAGGAGGAAGAGGCTTTGCCTGTTCAATGATCCCAAATAAAGGATATTTTCCAGTTCTGTTCACTCTCCTAGATATATTAGCCTAAGGCTGGTTGCCAGAAACCAGCTGGCACCCACACCATTTTACTTGATTCATACTTATTTTTTAAAGAACACTATTGAGAAATACAAAATCCGTTTTTTTTTAATCTCAAAGGTGGTGGGAAATTTCAGTGATTTCTTATAATTTGTTAGAGTTTTCCAGAAAGCTTTCTACATACTTGAAAATAATTGTATTCTCAATATTTCAAGACTGTATTTATTACAATATACTAAACAGAAAAGTCAAGAAACATGAGTTTGGATCCTTAAAATCTTATTTCAAGTGAACATTTACTGAATTGTTTCTTGATACAAATATTATCATAATACTAATATAGACAAATATGCTAACAAAGTCAAGAAAACATTGCACCTTGTTAGAACTCTGTAACTGCATTCATTTTGAGTCCTCTATGACACTAAAGCGAGATGACTTTTCACTTCATTGTGACTAGCTCAGGAAATTGCTTCATCTTGCTCAGGATATGATACTTCACCTTTCCTTTCAGACAATGGATATACTTTTTGCTTTTTAAATTTGTGTTTGGGAGTGATGCAGTGACTAAAAGATGAAGTTCATTCACTGATATTTGTATCTCCTACATAAATTCTAATTTTTTAATCGTGATAGAAAACCCAAAAACCTCATGAAAAACAGTTTGATAGTCATATAAGCATTAGATTCCATTAGGCAAAGATAATAATATATATCTTTTATTTCTAACTAGTGTTATATTCATACACTGTCATTAGTGTAGTAAAAAGAATTAGATAATAATTGAGACCTAAATTTGACTTTTATCTTGCTCTCGTTGTCATTTTGGATACTCTTGAAAGTTTTCTGGTCCTTATTTTTCACTTGAAAAATGAAACTTTTACATTATAGTAATGAAAATCAACTTAGAGATAGAAAAAAGAATATGAAAATCTCAAGGTTTTTCAAATCATATGTGCTTCCTACTTTCAGTTCAGATTCTCATTTGCCCTTCCTGGAGTTCAGATATGGGCCACTGAAATTATTATAGGTAGATCAGTAATAATGTACAGAAGATAAATGCAAATTTGCAACCAAATAAATGATAACTATCCTAGTAAATTATTACATCTTGAAAAAGTCAATTATTCATAATTAAGAAAAATGAAGTTCTAATTTTCTATTGCACTGTATATGGGACTATATGTGACTATATTTATTAGTTATTTTTCTGTTACCACAACAAATATGTGTGATAATCACTTACAAAAAAGTTTATTTTGGCTCAGGGTTTTAATGGTTTCAGTCCATGATTGGTGTTCCCATTGCTTAGGGTTGTGAGGAAATCTCATGATGGGAATGTGTGGCAAGGCAGAACTTACCTCCTGGCCGAAACACAAAAAGGGAGAAAGAAGGGACTGGAGTTCCATGATCCTTTTGGGTGCATCACCCCTATAATGTAAGGCCCTCCCACCAGCTTCCACCTCTTCAAGATTCTACTGAATCCCAACAGTGTCATGGGTTGAGGGCCAAGTCTTTAACATATGGAACTTTGGGAGACACTTAATGAAACCATAGCACCTTAGGTAACAATGTTTACAATTTATTTTAAAAACCTAGAAGATTTTAAATATTTTAAGTATGAGCATAGATTTGTCCAAAGTTGGACACTACATGATGTATATAAATATTGAAATATTATGGGCACTATAAATATGTACAACTTTTATGTATGTTGGTTAAAAATAAAGAAGTCAATTATCCTATAATGAGGCAGCCAGCTACCATAAAGTTATATATATATTCTAGTAAAATTTGGATGATGAAAAATTTACTAGGTATCTTTAAGCATTTAAAAATTTTATTTATCCAGATCTAGGCAGCATGGTACCATGGTTGAGATTCTTTCTCTTTCTCATTGTCTTCTTGGTCTTCCAATTTCAAAATTTTTTTTAATTTGAAAAGAATATACAGTGATTCAACAACATAACTCGTGACATTGCCCAAATCCAAATAGTCCCATCAGAGGAGTTATACTTCCTGTATTATTTCTACTTTTCCAGGATTATTAAAATTGTATGCATATGTTCCTTTTAGATATTTATTGTAAACTACATGCTTATTACAATAGTACATCAGGGGATTCTATACTTCCAAATAGATATTCAAAAGGAGTATTACCTCCAACCTAGATGAGATTTCTTTCTTCTCCTTCTATGTTATTTCATACTAATTTGCAATCCCAGAAAAAAATGATCATATTTTCATCTGTAAAAGAAATGAGTGATATGTACATGTGCCTGTAAACATATACACTTAGGAATGTATGTGTTTACCTCATTGATCATAGCCAAGACCTTAATACCTATATATGCCCCCCCAAAAAACTTGATTTACTCAGAGGTGGCTTACATGCATCCATATACGTATGTGGGTATGCATGCTTGTGTAAATCTAATAAAATACATTTCATCTGATTCATGTTCAAATTCATGAGCAAGAACTGTAATATTTGCACATATATCAAAGAGAATTTGGTGTTTTTATGCTTTTTATCATCCTACCAATTCATAGTTATGTACTTAACAAAAATACACAGTCTCCAGAACTAACTGATGTACTGTCTTCATAGGTAAAACTCGTTCTCGTAAACCTCTACAGTTGGTGGTTGGCACTTTGACACCAAGCTCAGTCTTCCTGTCCTGGGGTTTCCTCATCAATCCACACCATGACTGGACCTTGCCAAGCCACTGTCCCAATGACAGGTAATTTGGTCATGTTAAAAAATTTGTCTTTCCTCTGATAACTAGCACTTTCTTTTAGTGATGTTTATACATGCTTCATAAGAATTTGTACACATAAAATGAGCATTTATTTATTGCCTACTAGTTGTGCAGTTGTTCTAGGTTTTAGAGAAACATAGATAACATTAGTCAGGCCTTTAGTCTTGTTAGATACGATCTGCACGAGTAGAAAACACATAGACGTATGCTTCAGCAGGAAAACACAAGGGGCAAGGAGCCAATAGCGAAGAGACAACATCAGTGATAAAATAACATAGGCTAGAGCAGAGGGCTGAAGGCAATTAGAAAAAACTGCAAAGAGCTGAAAAATTCCTTGAAAAAGAAAGGATCTTTGACCTTTCAGTTGAAAAGTGCTTGAACTAGTACGTAGGCCTTCAAACTAAGTAACATCACATCTTCCTCTATTTGGAAAGTTGTCACAAAGGCAACTCTCAGACTGCTTTCTAGAGTTGAGTGTAACAGAAACTCTGAGGATGGAGCCCAGCCATTTGTATTTTCACAAGCCTTCCAGATGATTCTAATGCTCACTGTAGTTTGAGAATCACTGGTTTAGACAGCTGGAGGCACAAAGAAGAGAATTAGGCAGAGGAAAAACAGAGTTAGAGATGCAGCTACCATCTTTTTGGCAGAACAAATGTGAAAGTCAAGTGTATTTCAAAATTTCTGCTGCTCATTCATCCTTCCACCTAACACATGTATTTGGCACGGTGATACTTGGCATTGTACTAAACATTGCTTCTAAAATGGCACTAGAAACAATGCTCCTGAAATTCACTGATCATAATTATTTACTACATTAGCTGGTTTCAGAATTCAGAAACATACAAATGGAGAAGCATTCAAATTTTCAACTTTTAATTGCATTTAAAATATTTAAAAGAAACACTCAAAGTGACTCTTAAATTTGTGAAGTTTTATTGTTCCTCTTTTTAAACAAAAAATTGAAGTATAATTTAAAGAGTAAATGTACAGACCTTATATATACAGCTTGATCTTTTGAGATAAGTGTATAAAATCATGTATTTTATAACAAAAAAGGAAACATTTTTTGTCACCCCAGAAAGTACATACTTTCCTTTAGAAGCAGCCACAGATTTGCTATTACTATTGATTACTTCTGCCTAACTAGAACTCCATTTAAGTGGAATCACATAGTAGGGGGTTGTTTTTACTCTTTTCTTTCATCCAGCATATTTTTAGAGCTATTCATGACATTATAGGTATTTTGCTCCTAAGTAGAATCCCATATTTGAATATTCTAGTTCATTTATTCGTTGTCTTGCCATAAACACCTGAACTGGGGTGATGTTTTATGAATATAGATTGTTCTAAGAATTTTTGTGCAAGATTTTTGTGAGGATACATTCCAATTTCTCTTAAAGATCTAGAGTTGGCATTACTGTTACACAGAGTATGTATATTTAACTATTTTTGTGCAATTTTAACCATGTACCCCAAGCAATATATGAGGTCTCTAGTAATTCCATGTCCTCACCAACATATTGAAATTCACATTACATTTCATTTTTGCTATTTGATATTGTAGTTCCTCATTGGAGCTTTAACTTGTATTTCCCTTGAATGAAGGTAATTGACCAATTTTTAAGGAACTTTTGGGATATGTGCATATTTTTGTAGTATTTTATTTATTTTTGTTTAAATTAAACAAAAAATGAACTTTAAAATGTTTACAACTTCTCAAACATACATTTCATATGACTTTCATTAGGGAAATCTAAACTGCAACAGGGAAAGAAATCAAGTTTCCCTGCATATGTTCACAATTTCAAGGGATAAGTACTAAGGAAATAGCACATAAAAGACATTTCCAAAACTTAATTTTTGAAAAATAATTTTGAGATGTCTCAAAGAATTTGAAATATTTCTTATTTCACCCACCACTAAACCCATGACTTATTTTGCTTGGATACTAGACTCTTGAAAGTGCGTGTTTTCTTGGATTAATTCTAGTTTCTAGTGGATTAGTTCAAGATGCCAATGTTGATAAAATAAACACTTATTGATTGCTTTTAAAAAATTTCTCTTATTAAAAAGTAAAGAAGCAAAGGAAAAAGGGAGACGGAAAGGAATGAATGGAGGAAGCTTCATAGTGTTACAGCAAAATGGATTTGATAGCATTGGTTTTTCAATTTGCTTACTAAATCCTTGAGGCTATTTGTTTCAACAGGTTCAGTAACCTGGCAAATTCTTACATTATTTGGATATAATTTCCTCCCTTCCCTCAAGCATTTCCTTCAATTTTACTTGGTTCTACTGACTTTTTCATGAAGGAATTTATCTAATGACTCCTTTGGACTGACAGGTTTTGTTACAGGGGATAATGAAAATAAGACAGGAGATAATGAAAATGAGAACAGATTACTAGGTAGAGAGGATCTTTAGCACAGGCATTTAACTCTAAGGCCCACCCTACTCAAATCACACGTGCATGTCACTCTGTCCCTTTGCATACCCAACCTGGCCCTCCCCTTCTCATCAAATAGATGGAGTCAGACATGTCAAATCACGGTATCTGAAGCTGATAATTCCACTTTAAATGCAGTTTTGAAAGGTTCGTAATAACACAACATGATGTTTGCATTCTTTCAATCCCAAGTGAGTGGGACTGAGGCAGTGTAACAGATACTGGAGCTATTAGGCTATAATTTATTGAGAAGAATTAAATAGTCACAAGTAAAAGGAAACATTTGGAGTTCTTGTTGATCCCATTTATCCATCACCTTTCTCTCAAGTTGGCACAGTTAATAAAGATCTGACATTTAAAGCCTTTTTTCTTGTTTGAGAAAAATTAGTAATCCTTATATAAAAGCACTGGAAATATTGTACGTAACACACAAATAAATAAACAATAACTGTAAATAAATATAATCAGAAACAGATTGGGTAAAATCTACCCTCCTATGCTCATGCAGACTTTTAAAAAGTAGTTTTGACTAATCTAGTAGATTATGATAAGCAATAATAGCTAAAGGGGATGATAACTTCTTGAAAATTGGAGATTAACAGCACTGAAATTTTCTTTCAGGAGTATCCTATTACAAAATCTTTGGAACCTAAATCTTTTTGGCTTGCTACATGAACACCACCTGGTGTCATTGTAAGCCACTGAACTTCTAGTTTCTGGAACTCTCTATAAAGTCTCTGATTTTCAAAATCCATTTCATGTTGTTTTGTAGGCTTTCTTTATCCTATGCAAATAATGAATTGGAAAAACTCTTTGCTTTATACTTTGACTTTGGACTTTCTATATGAAAGCTCTTAATTTTCCAAGGACGAACAAACAAACAAGCAAACAAAAAACCTCTCTTTTTATCTTATTTTAAGCTTGGAAATATTAATGGAATATCACTTTATATTTGAACCCTGTTTTTATTATTACTTTTATGGAGTCTACAGGTCTCCCAAAGGTTTAGACCTTTTTCTCAGTTCACACTGGAGAATAGACACACTTTGTTTACAGATTATTTTTTAATGGACTTTAAGTGGAAGGATGTACAGGTTTGTCCTCAATATATCTGAGGCAAAAAGAAAACTTTTAAATTGGCCAAAATGGAAAGTAAAATGTTTTTAACCAAAATTTATTTCACTCTTAATAGCTTATTTTTTTCTTTCCCATGTTTCCAACTTTTTAAGCTTTCAGGATTGCTTTAGTTCTCATTACTTTGCAGCTTATTAAAGATTTATAATTTGTTTAGAAATCATTTTCACATTTTTCTAACACTTTCATATGGTGTTTATTTGTTCTTAATCTAGAATGAGTGCTTTTTTTTGGACAGTCTAGAGAAATCTTTTATTAGTTAGCTTTCCTAATTTTGGAAAAAAATACTTGACACCCAGAATTTAAAGGCTGAGCCATTTAACTGGGCTCACCATCTTGGGAGACTCAGTCTATAGTTGGCTCTGCAGCAGAAAGAATAGTGGAAGAGCTCGGGGGAAGAAAGCTGCTTGTCCCACAGGAACCAGGAAGCAGAGAAAGAAGGAAGGGGCCAGAGACAAGGATGCACTCTTTCTGGTCACGGTTTTAGTGGACTGCCACCAACCAGACCCCACCTCCTAAAAGTACATTTACCTGTGAGCTCAGCATTGGATCAATAACTGATAAGTACAGCCACCCCATGATCCAATCACCTTCTGAAAGTCCTACCTTTGAATACATGAGACTCTCGGGGAAGGTTTTAGATCCAAACCATAATAAGACCTTTGTTTATTGTCTTTTCCTTTAAAGTTTTAAAGTACTTTTAATGTCTAATTTTCACTTTATTGAGTTCAAATATCTTGCCCGTTTGTCTCTTGGGTCATCATCTGATACCTAAGAAACTCTCAGTAAGTACATGCTCAATCAGTACCAAATGAAATATCACATTTTCAAATTTATGAGTCACCACTACCTGAAACTGAACTTGTCAAAACTGAACTAACACTTTTTCTTTTGAGATATCAACTCATTTGTCTTTTTATTACTTGGGGAAGTAATAAAGTTACTTTACTTCACTAAATTTTAAAAATTACCATTTTTTCTACATTTCATCTTAGATTCTGAATGCCCTAGGTCATGCTGATTTTTGCTCTTGAGATATACCAATATCTGTGTCTTTATCATTTACTTTTCCATCTTCATACCAACAGTTCCAATTTAGGCAGTCCTTAGGTTTCTTTCTTTCTTTCTTTCTTTCTTTCTTTCTTTCTTTCTTTCTTTCTTTCTTTCTTCTGTCTCTGTCTCTGTATCTGTCTCTCTGTCTCTCTCTCTCTCTCATACCAGGAATTAAACTCAGGAACTTGCAATTGCCAGGCATACACTGCCACTGAGCTATATCACCGACCCTACCTTAGATTCTAACAGCAACATTCTGGCTGCTTTTCTTGGCTCTTTGCCCTGCCCTAATACATAGTAGCTTCCATAGTACTAAAGAAATCTAGACTATCAACCATCAGCTTACTCT